CTGTGTTAACACCCCTCCACAGTCTACACCCTGTATCAGCCCCTCCTCCAGTCTATAATATCTATTACCCCCTCCAGTCTACATCCTGTGCCAGCCCTCTTCCGGTCTACAGCCAGCACAATCTCTAAAGTTAATAAATCAGACTCCACTACTCCTCTGCTTAAATCCTTTTCCTGGTTCCTCACTGTACTTGCATACAATTCAAGCCTTCACAGTGACACAGATGCTCACCTATCTTGGCCCCTTCTTTGTTTTCCAACTTCAGCTTTACCCGACTTGTCTCATACTAGACCCTCTCAGTTCCTATGGTGTGTCCATCCACCAGAGCACCTCTGTGTGCTCCTCTGTCTGCAGAGACTTCCTGCTGTCAGTCTGGATGACTCAGGACTCCTCGGATCACGGTTGAAATGCTGCCTTCTCAGAAGCATTCCCTAACCACCTGTTCTAACAGAATTTTCCCTCCTCAGGACCAGCACAGTTTCTTTCTGTTAGCATGCACTTCACTATTATACTATGTAAGTATGTATTATCTTCCCCACTAGACGGTATGCTCCTCAGACTCAGAAACTACACCTGCCTTGCCTACCACGCTATCATGGGGCCCGCCACAGAGCCCTGGATGTAGAGCTGTTGATGAAGAAAAAGTACAACAGCCAGTGTCATGTGTCAACCCTGGAAAAGAGATCACCTCACCGACTGCCATCTTGTGCCTGCTCAGATACACACCTGCAGTTCTGGGAGTCCTGGTTGTGTCTGGGGGATGCTCCTGAAGCCGCAGAAGCAAGCTCTGTATCCAACAATGCCTCAGGGGGACCAGAGCTACTGACGTCCTCAACTTCTCTGAGCTCAGGAGGCTGAGGTTCTCCTGGGCTTTCAGGGTCTAAGGCTGGTGGCTCCCCCTTCTCAGGGTCTGGAGTCAGTGACAATCTCCTGGAGTTTCCTTGCAGTGGGCCATCTGGGGCTACTTCCCTGACATGTTCTTCTTCTCCCGGTGGGTTGTCGGGCTGCACTGCTCTCTGGCCATCAGCAAGTGCCTCCTCACACTCGGAATCCACAGTCACAGGGCCTGGAGGTTTAGGTGGGATTGAAGTCGGGGGCCCCAGGACTCTGTGGGATGGGATGCCGGCTGGCTCAGGTGGGAGGGAGCTGTCTTTCATCTCCGAGGACGTCTCTGCTTCTGAGAACCCCTCTCTCCTTGTCTGTGTACCATTCCGTGGCATGGGGAGATCCTGTGGAAGCAGTGGGGTGTTCTCCCCTGCTACCTGTTCTGACAGCACCTTGGGGGCCTCCTGTGTCTCCCCACGTGGGGGTGCTGGGGACAGCCCTGGAGTGGCGGGACCTGGCTGCTCCACGGAAGGTCTCGAAGGCTTCTCTTCCTCCTCCTCACTGCTACTCTCCCCCTGCTCTTCCTCCTGCTGGCTCAACAGCTGCAGAGTCACCATCTGTTCAAAAGCCAAGGAGGAGATGAGCACTGAAAGGGGGACAGTGTGCACCCAGAGGTCTTCTGTCCCCAGAGGCACAGCTGCCACCTAATTCAATGACCGTGCTTCTCCCTGCCGGAAGAGGCTGGCCACATCCATCCAGGCACACGCCATTTCAGAAATCCTCATCACGGATGGATGGTCCTGAGGAACTTTTTAAGTATGAGTGCTTAGACAGTAATTAAAGAAAATGCCCATTTCAGTGACCCAACTGGCAGCGTTCTGGCTGTACCTTGATTGTGTGCATGATGGTCCTGAGGATGGTCCTGCCATCATAAGACTCCTCCAGCTCAAACTCTCCCCTCAATGACTGGAACACCTGGTTCATGATCTTCTTGACCTGTGCCAAGATCAAAAAGGCATGCGACCAAAGTCAAGTCATTAAGTGAGGCATTACAATCACAGAGTTGGAACTCTACAGAGGCTGGGACACAGACAGTCACGAATGTCTGTGACTGCCACCGAGGGGAGGACAGTTTTAAAGGAGAATTTCCTGCCAAGGGCGCACAGTGATAGTAAGTGTACAAGACTGCCCAAAGATCATTTGCTGATATGATGTAACTCCAACTATGAGCACCACAGCCGGCCGTGTGGCCTTGACCACAGGGATTAGTGGAGGCTGGGTGCTGGGTGCAGCACATCTTCCAACTCTTCTCTATGATTTAGGGATACTTCCCATAGCTGTCAAAGCTTCAGAGGAAGAGAGTCTCTTTGGGTTTGCTACCAGAGTGGTAGATTCTAAAGAATTAGTTTTTATGTCAGACAAGTGATGAATCAATAAAGCTGGAGAAACACTGTCAGCATGACACACGGGCCATGTTTTCTAAAACTTGATAAGCACATTCACTGCCTTGATAGGAGAGGTTTTGCTGCTGCTTTGAATGTCAGCTCACCTTCTCTGAGGGGTCAGCAGCAGCTCTGACTGCAGGTGCCTGGGACTTATTCTTCTCCAGTTGCTGGAGATGCTCATTCTGTGCGGTGAGGGCTGCGACCTGCGCCTGGAGAGCTAAGCACTGCAAAGTGAACAGACACGGGCTGTGGCCTTGGAACCTGCATCCCTGTGACAGTCAGGAAACACACGAGAACCATTCTGGGAACAAGTCCTGACTTCAGCAAGGTCTGCTGGGCCCAGTCTCGGTCCTCACCCCAGACCAGCTGATGCAGGTCACTCTACTTCCTCAACAATCAGCTCACAGCTTCCTTCCCATCAACGATACTTGACTTGCTCCCAGTGAGGTCAAGAATATAATGAAAACGAGGGGGTATGAGTAAGGATAGTCACATACATACAAATACTCAGCAACCTATTCACCTCCAAGACTGCCTCCAAGGCTTCCAAGTCAAAGGGTTTTTCTGGATAATGCAAGGAACTGCCCTTCAGACAAGGGACTGTCATAACATGTCCCTAAGTCACCTTCCAGCTCTCCCTAAAGTATCCCACCATATCCCACGCTCTACCTGTCTACCTTACCACAATTACCTGTCCTTGGTTCTGCTCAAAGGTCACCTCCTTTGGGACTCCCTCCCAGCAACTTTAGGCTTCCTCAGACCACTTATCTCCGTTTCTTTTCTGTGCCATGTGACTACTGAGGGCAGAGTCTTGGCATGTCCTTTCTCTAACACAGTGACTGGAGCCAAACTAATGCTCAGTAAATATCTGCGTAGGAAACCAAGGGTCCAACAGTGGAAACACGTCCTGGAACACTGCTGTTTTATCTTTTTCCAGGTTCCTGACCCGCCACCCTGTGTAAGCAAGTGAAAGATAACTAACTGCAGGTTCCCCAGGCCTGGCTGTGTTTGCTAGCTGTTAATACCGCCCAAGCTCACAAGGCTGGACAGGCCTCCCACAGCCTGGAGGCCTTGTGTCACGGAGCTGACTCAGGGAAAGAAAGAACCACCTCATCCTGAAGGCGGGACAGCTTCTGCTGCTGGGCATCCCTCTGCGCGCAAACCTCCTGGTACTGCTGCAGGTGCTCATCCTTCGCAGAGGCCAAGAGATGCTCACACTTGGCTTCCCACTGGCTCTGCAGCTCCGCCTGTGCCTGTGCGAGAGACAGCTGCCAAGAGAAACAACAGCTGTGGGGGGGCGGGGTTAGGAGTTGGGGGCGGGGTTTGGAGTTGAGGGCGGGGTTAACATTACAACAGAAGAAGCCCATCCTCCACAGAATTTAAAGGCCCTTGCCCACGTAGCTAGAAATCAGCTGTTGAAAAGATCTTAATGACTTTGAAAGTATCCTTTGATTCCTTCTTGGTCTCTATGTGAGCGGTGTATGCACGTGTATGTGTGTGTATGTTCACACTCACATCCACACACAGAGACTGGAGGAAGACATCAGGTGCCCACCTCTCTCCGTGACATTCCCTTGAGACAGGGTCTCTCACTGAACCTGGAGCCTGGCTGGCAGCCAGCAAGCCCCAGGGACCCTCCTGTCTGCCTGTGCACATGCAGTGATACCCAACATTTTACGTGGGTACAGGAGATTCAAACTCAGGTCCTCATGCTTGCACAGCGTCAGGTCCAAAGCAGCCCCCCCAAATGGCAGCGCTGGTGTCAAAGTCCTAAACAGGGCTCTGCCTTTAGGCTTTCCTTTTAGGGATTCTGTTTACTAGGAACCTTCCTTAATCCACCACCAAAGGTCAACTACCTCAAAGGCCATCTAGTCCACGTCGATCCAAACAGCCTGTATGAGCTCAAAGACCTCCACCCTGCCGGCTGCCATATACAATTAGCTTACTTTCCACCATTTTGCTTCTCCCCCCTCCCCCTCCCAGAGATAGTCTTGTGATTTGAGCCCCAATAAATCTTTCTTTTTAGGCATGGAGTAGTGGTTCAGTGGTTTCCCTGGACCCTCACTTACACACAGCAAGCACTCCTACCTACTCAGTCATATCCCCAGTCCCAAAGTAAGTATAGCTTTTAAACACTCAGAGAGGGATGGCCCTGGTTGTCAGGATTTCCATTACCCTCCCAGGTGTGCATAAGCCACAAGAAACATCTTCCTAGGGAAAGTGGAAGCTACATGTTCTCGCTGTGTCCTTCACAACTTCCTTGTATTTCCAAGGGCCCGTTACCTGCTCTGCAGTCGCTTGGTCTGTGGACACTCGAGCCTTTTTCAAGAGCTGCCGAAGTCTGTCCAGTTCCTCCTGGTGTGACTTGCGAATCTCATCCATCTCCTCCTCTGCCTGGCAGCGCTCTTGAGCCGATTTCTTTTTCCTCTCTGAGAGGTTCTTAGGAACAAGAGAACCATCCTCAGTACTAGCTGAATAGTGTGGATGGGGTGGTGGTCAGTGATCTCAGTGGGTCATTTCTAGGAATGGTTCCTTGTTGTGGGACATTTGTGCACTGTGTGAAGATGTATTGCTATGATTGGTATAATAAAAAGCTAAATGGCAAACAGCTAGGCAGGAGGGTATAGGTAGGACTTCTGGGCAGAAGAAAGGAGAGGTCGCCAGCCAGCCACGGAAGAAACAGGATGGGTAGTACAAAGATGAGAAAACAAGCCTCATAGAAGAATGTAGATTTAAAAATATGGGCTAATTTAAAAGAACTAGTTAGGAACAAGCCTAAGCTAAGGCCAAACATTTATAATTAATAATAAGTCTTGGTGTCATTATTTGCAGGCTGGCAGTCCTGATGGGAAAGTACCACTATAAATGGCACCCAACATGGGGCATGTAAATCCACATAGGGCCTGAAAAAGCTGAAAAAAAAATCCAACTAGACTCAATGCTTGCTGCGCATGGAACATAGCTCTTTTAAGAGGCCCTGCTGTGCAGCTGAGTGTTTGAATAGCTGGCACTGGGTACAAACTCCAGCTGTAGGCAGACACAACAAATTCCCAGAGCTGGGACAGGTAAATGTGGCCCTGGGCCAGTACCCACTGACATGAGGCTAGGCTCTCACAGAACGGAGGGGGCGTGGAGCCATCCACCAGCGCCACTCAGCAGCAGTAGCCTAGCAGTTTAAGGTTTGGCTCACCTGGTCAGAAAACGCTGCAGATGCACAGAAAGCCAGGCCCAGACACACACAAAACAAACCTCTAAAAAGGTACAGTATTCTTAAAAGGGTGCTTAGGTACTGAAGACAAAAAGAAAATGGGTATAGATAGTCATAGAAAAAAAATTAAAAAATAATAAAGTCTTTAAAGAGAGTAAAATAATATAAAAAAATAAGCCACATAAGGATGAAAACACAAGGAGTTTGGACCTTATACCAGATCGTTATACCATTTTCCTTGTTACCAAATTTAGAAAAGAAACTTACAAAAGAATTGTAAAGTGTATAAGGTTGAGATACATAAAAGCTTAAGTTTGTTATCTGAATAAAAGTTTTGAGATTTAAAAAGATATTTTGAGGATGGTAATGCACATTATGATAGAAAATGATTTAGGTATAAAACTTTAGATTCCTCAAGGTAGGATAGATAATAGAGTATTTTCTCTGAATATGCCAAATACAGATGGACTAGACATTGTGAATGTAATTTTTACCTGATAATTGTTCTTACTGTTTTTGTTTTACATTGTTAAAGTTAAAACATTTCCTTTTAATTTAGACAAAAAGGAGAATTATTGTGAGGTATTTATAGACTGTGTGAAGATATATTGCTGTAATTGGTGTAATAAAGAGCTGAATGGCCAATAGCTAGGCAGTAGAGTATAGGCAGAACTTCAGAGCAGAGAGAGAACTTTGGGAAGAAGAAAGATGGGGTTATCAACCAGACAAGGAAGAAGCAATCGTGGACGAACGTAGATTAAAAAAAAAAAATTGGTTAATTTAAGTTATAAGACCTATTTAGGAAAAAGCCTAAGCTATGGCCCAACTTTTAGAATTAAAATAAGTTGACACGTCATTATTTGCAGGCTTGCAGTCCCGACAAAAAAGTACTACTACAGTTCCTTTTTAAGCACCCCCTTTTATATTTTGTATCTCTGCTACTGAGTGAGATAAATTATACAAGGAAAAGATGAGTAACTGATCTGCTGCTGTTCTCCTAAGAGCTGGGGACAGCATAACTTTCATGTAGATACAAAAGGGCAGATACTCACATCTGGCTGGCTGGTGAGAAAATAAACGGACATAGTCTCTTTGGATGGTAATCTTTCAAAATACATCCAGAAATGCTACAAATTGTAAATTTGTAAATTCTAGTCAAAGATTATAGGGTTAGTCACAGTGATAGTGTCTGCAACAAGGAGAAACTGAGAACAGCCCAAGGTCAGAGGGAAGTGCTTTAAAAAGCACAACAGAATGAAAGAGGGACTGGGAAGGTGGCTCAGAGGGCGAGCCACTTGCCACCGAGTGTGAGGACCTGAGTTCAGGCCCTCAGAACCCATGCAAACGCAGACTTGGTCTCAGCGCTCCTATGGCAAGAGGGGAAGTGGAAACAGGGGCATCTTCAGAAGCTCATGGGCCAGCTAGGGAACAATAGACTATCTCAAACAAGATGGAAGGTAAGGACTGCCACCTAAGGTTGTCTCCTCTGACCTTCATCCGAGTGTGCATGCTTCTGCTCTCATGATCTCCCCCTACCTACTTTCACTGTACACACACACACACACACACACACACACACACACACACACACACACACTTTTTTTTTCTTCTTCGAGACAGGGTTTCTCTGTGTAGCTTTGGAGCCTTTCCTGGAATTCACTCTGTAGCCCAGGCTGGCCTCGAACTCACAGAGATCCGCCTGCCTCTGCTTCCCAATTGCTGGGATTAAAGGTGTGTGCCACCACCACCTGGCAACATACACACACTTTAAAGTGATAAAATCATAGAAGATAAAGTCGTCTTATGTGTTTACACACACACTCTGTGTAAACACAGATCAGGATTGACCCCCTCTAAAAAGGCACTAGTCAAGAATAGCTTTACTAGAGGCTCACTGAAAGCTCAGTAAGAGTTTGTTCTTTTCATATTAAACATTCTAGTACGAAGAAAAAGATAGCAATGTTCCTGCTTTGTCCAACCCCTGCTAGCACCAGGTGATTACCCTGATATTAAAAATTTAATCATTAAAATTTAAAATAATATCTAACACAAAAATAGCAAGCTAGGGGAAGTGGGTTGGAAAGACAGCTCAGCAGCCTTTAAGAAAGCTTCCAAAGGACCTGATTTGGGGTCCCAGGCCCCATGTTGGATGGTTATAATCACTTGTAACTCCAGCTCCAAGGGATCTGACACCCTCTTTTGCCTTCCTGAGGCACCCAAACACAAAATAATAATAACAACAATCAGGGTTTGTTGGTGGTGGTGGGTTTTTTGGAGACAGAGTTTTACTATGTATACTTAGTTGACCTAGAGCTTATTATGTAGACCAGGCCGGCCTTGAACTCACACAGAATGCTGTGGAATAATTATTTTCTATACTATGAGTATGTATTACTTTCAATGGTTAATAAAAAGCTGACAGGCCAGTAGCTGGTCAGAAAGTTAGGTGGGAAAGCCAACCTGAGGATGCTGGGAAAGAGAAGGGTGGAGTCAGGAGAGGCCAGGCACCGAGGAAGCAAGTCATGCAGAGAATGAGGAAACAAGCTACAAACCACATGGCAAAGCACAGATAAGAAATACAGGTTCATTTAAATTAAGAGCTAATTAATAATAAGTCTGAGCCATTGGCCAAACATTTATAATTAATATAAGTGATTAATCGGAAGCGACTGTGGGACAGGGCAGGACAGAGAAGAGCCTGTCAGACAGATCCACCAGTCTCTGACTCCTGAGTGGTAGGATTAAAGACATGTTCTATTACATCTAGATGTTTTGTTTGTTTATTGTTGTTGTTTTGGGACAGGGTCTCATTGGCCTTGACTGCTCTAGAATTCATTATATAAGACCAAATTGGCCTCAAATTCACAGAGATCTACCTGCCTCTGCCTGCCTCTAGAGTCCTGTGTCCTCATGCCTGGTAAATCTTCAAAAAATGAGAATAAATTTTAAAAAGTATCAAGATGGAAAAATATTAGTAATGTTTATGGCTGACAAAGGATTAATACTCAATATTCTAATAGAAAAGAGGATACAGGACTCCAAAAGAGAATTCACAGGAAAAATAGAAATAGGTATGAAATATATGAAAGCTTTATTACTAATAAAAACACATAGCTGCTAGGCATGGTAGCACAGACCTTTAATCCCAGCACTCAGGAGGCAGGGGCAGCAGTTGGAGGCTAGCCTGGTCTACATGGCTCCAGGACAGCCAGGACTATATAGAAAGTCCCTGTCTGAAAAACAAAAACAAACAAACAAACAAGAAGCTACTCAGTCTGTGGAGGTCCACAGCCGACTGAAATGAGAAACTGGAGGCACACATATCTACTGGTCCAGCATAGGACAGCAGCTGCACAGCGGACTAACAGTAGACTTCTGTGCATAGTGAGCATAGTGTCCTCACCACTCTTTTAAAAGAGTTCACTAGGTAGAAGCCCAGTATTGTTTAGAAAAACATATTATCAGTACGTGTTTATATAAGGGGATATGCAATATTTTATGTATACAGAGAGTAACCTAGGTGCATGTGTTGTTTATAGCTGTTATTTATAACACATACAATAAGAGAAGGAATTAAAAACAACTTTTTAATTTTATACTTTTCTGTATTGTTTGCACTTTCCCTAACACATTCATATTATAAAAAATGTAAGGGATGCAGGTCAGGGTTAGGAGATACAGGCATGCTGCATCTTAAGGCTTTGACGCAGGTGCTAAGCCAAGCCAACAGCCAAGGAGTCCAAAGCACCCTGTGAGTGCACAGGGACCTGAGCATCAGGTGCTGGAGTCGGGTGGCATGGGCCGCTTGCAGTACGCGCTGCTGACTCAGGAGGGACTACACTGGCCGACTTGGGCTGAGGGGGCACAGATGCCTGGGTCACCACTGCTAGCACCAGTAACGTCTGGGCCGAGTACAATCAGAATGGGAACCAAGCGTTTAATGAAGACAATCTCAAATTTATCCTCATGGACTTACACAGAGGGCCATGAAGCCATTACCAGGTGGCCAACCTTCTGCTATGTATAAATGCCAAGGAGACTATAGGCTTTGGAGTGCTCAAGGCCCAGACCCAGGCAATTGCTGGAGGGCCTGGAGGAACTCCTCACCCAAGTAGCAGCATCATAATAGAGGGATGGAAGCTGGATCAAAAAGGGATGGTGGCTGGGAGGAGCAGAGCCCTGGAAACACCTTATTGGGCTGAGCACAGGAAGGTGGGACTTTTGCTTTTTTCTGAATAAATTTCAACTCTTAAAAAAAACGGAAAAGAAAATTGTGTATTAATCAGCTATGCCTGGCCACTTGGCTCCGAGAAGAACTTGGCTTTTGGAACTTACCTTTTCCAGGGACTCCTTCTCAGCTCGGAGGTCAGTCAGTTCTTCCTCCAGGGATGTCACCTTGAGCTCCAGCTGTCTCCGGCTCTGCTTTTCACTTTTGAATTTGGACTGTGTTTGCTCAGAGGCTTCTCGGAGCTCTAGGACAGAGGAGCGGGGAGACATGACCGGAGAACCAGAGACGCGGTGGGCACTGGGGCGCTCCGGAGGCTCCTTCAACGTTGCATGCTCTAATCTCCCAATCCTACCACACGAGCCTCCCTGACCTGCAGAAAGGATTAATAAGCCCTACACTGACTCTACTGTCAACCCATGTTTACCCTGAGAAGGGTAACTTCTGTATGTCTATACCTCCTTCCACACATGCGAAGTGTGAGGGAATGGTCTCTGAACAGTCAGAGACCACCTTTAACACCGATCACTCAGCCCTGCTTCCATTGCCAGAGGACCACATGGAGTGTCTCTGTTGAGGAGAGCTCAGTGCCTTCTCACTGCCTGGGTAAGACTCTCAACTTTCTTGGTAGCTAAGACATTTGATTGAGAATTTGCTTTCAAAATATCCCTTTTCAAATGAGGTTGGGGGTGGGGTTATCTTTTAATTTAGTATACTAAAACTCGTTTGAAAACCGGCTCTTGAAGGAACTGTCACAAAGGACTGTCACAGGGAACCACAGAAACAGAGGTGAGATGCCTACACGACATTCAAATCAAAAGTTGTCCAGTGTGTTTGAGGTGGGCCAACTCCTGCTCTGTAAGAGAGGATGCATCTGCAAGGAACCGCCTTCCAATGCTCTCAGTGACCCTGAGCTTCTCTTAGACAAGGACTGTGCCTCTACCCACTCGGCTGCTGCCTCTGTCCCTGCCCACTCGTCCCAGTTCCTCCCACACAGGTTTCTCTACACCAAGACACCAGAAGCCAACGTGCTGGCACTTACAAGCTTCTAGCTATCAGCACGCCTTAGTCAGCCCCTTGTGCCAAGCACTGACGTAACCCTCAGACAGAGGAAGGACTTTTACAAAGACTAAATCACTGTCCTTGCCCTCCAGGGACTTGTATTCTAGAGGGAAGAATAAACTTATAAATGATGCTTATGGAAGGTCAGAATAATGCACTTAGGGATCAGGGACTCGAAAGGAGAGATCAAATGGTCTAGAAAAACTGTGCAAGAGACAGACTTTAGAGGGGCTGGAGGCACTACTGATGTGAGTGAGCACGCCAAGCGACGGCTACACCCATCTGAACCCAGCTAGTCCAAGAGAAGAACGGGATGAGAATCAAACAGGGAGCGCAGCCAGGAGGCCTGATGTTAAGGCAGATTCTGGGCAACAGAGCAGGAGGTGAGCGCAGGACAGGGGCCTTGAGTCCAAGCTGGGGCACTGTAATCCACGCTCCAGGAAGGAGGAAACCACAGCGGGAAGTGCTTGTTTCTTAAAAGTCCACCATGTTAGTAACAAAGATACTGAAGCAACATTTCCTCAAACAGAAACAGTGCGACTTGTCAATTACAACGGAATTGGGGGGGGTGTCTTCCTGTTCTTCATGTAAAACCACCACGTGGTTTTTCTGCCAGTCCTCCTCGATGCTCAGTCCTCGTGTGGGTATGGATATTATGCCACAGGAATCGGCAGGAAGGAAGCCATTTAACTCCTCCTCCTCCTCTGAGAACTTACCCGCGAGGTCCGCCTGGAGTCTGGTGACCTGGCCCCTGAGAAGCTCTGTCTCTTTCACGCTTTCTGTCAGCTGCACCTGCAGCTCTGTCTCCTTCTTCTGGTGAGCTGTCATCTTCAGCTGCAGGTGAGAGACCTGTGCAGTGGCTGCTGCTAACTCTTCTGTCACCTTGGCCTGAACAGTGACAAAGGGTGACATCATTTAGACATAGGCATCCCAAGTGCTGATTCAACCTCATGGGACGCTGAACTGATGATATTGGTAGACAGGAAGGGAGAGAAGGACACCTTCCGCCTGCACTGGGCTCAAATCAAGACTTGGAAATGTCCAAGGGCTCGGACTGACTTCTGTTGCAGGAATATGTATTTAGGAAATACTACACAAGCCAGGTGTGGTAACACACGCTGTAATCCCAGAGCTTGAAAGGATGAGGCAGGAGGATAAGGAGTCGAAGACAAGCCTTAGTTATATTAACAAGACCATCTCAAAAGCAAATAAACAGAGAAACCAGGACTGTAAGAGATGACAAAAATTGTGTTACAAGGCTGTTCAATGTAGCATTAAGTTTTAACAGAATGTAGAACTAACATAAAACACTGAAAAGATTTCAGCAAAATAGGAAATGCTCATCCTGTGGGCTATCAAAATTGTATTTGAAAAAGAATACTCCATGGCATGGAATACAGCTGGAACCTACAGCTAAATGAAGAATATAAGCAGATTATCAAATAGCATGGTAAGTATTATTCTGTTTTTGTAAAATGACCCATATGTGAAGGAAAGAGCTTGCAGGGCATTTTCTATCAATGGCCAAGCTGGATAGAAACTCGGTACTTCCTACTTTCTTCTTGCTGACTGGATTAGATTTTATATGAGCCTTTCAAAAAAATGTTTCACAGATTATTCTTTAAAAAGATAATGTGCTGTTGCTCAAAAATTTTTAAAAGTATTTAAAAAGTAAACAGTGAGACTCTCCCATGCTACACAGTTCTGCCTTGCCTCATATTGATAACCACATAGAAGTATGTTTTTTCAGGAGCTGGCAAGATGGCTCAGTGGGTAAAGATGTCTGCTGCCAAGACTGACAGCCAGAGTTTGATTTCCAGGACTCACACAGTGGAAAGAGAACATTGATACTAAAAAATGGACCTCCACACGTACACTGTAGCAAATACATGGCCATAAACATATATGAACACAAAATAAATAAAAATGTAACAAAAGCCATATGTATTCAACTTCCCATTTGTATAAAGTGATTCTTTATATACATACTGAGTCTTCACGCCTTCCAGATAAAACAGCAGATAAACTATGTAGTCTTCAGTAGTACATATGGGTCTTCTCCCTTCCCCCGCTTTTTAAAATCTATATCATATTCTACCATGTGGCTATAACATAGTTTATTATGTACTGCAGCATACATGCAGTTTTTGGCCTTTCTCATTACACCAGTGAGCATCTTAGATCCATTGTATGCAGTGATCCCCTGTGTATGCAAGAGCCATTTAGAATATTCCTAGGTACAGAGTGCTAGATCGAAGGAAATCCATTGCAATTCTGTATATCATTGGTTCTCCTCCAGCAGCTGCTCTACACATTTCGCCACTCATTGCCAAAATTCCAATCAAGCTGATGAGCAATGGGACTTGGGCCACTTTCTAGCGTTTCTGTGATAGACAAGGACCAACTTTAAAGAGACTAAATATTCTCCAGAACTTATGATACAGGTGAAATGACTGAAAACTCTCAGGTGGTATTCTGAACACTAGTGAAGATGGCAATGATTACGAGGATGGTCAAGAAAAGTCAGCTACTGCATTCATTGCCTTGAACTGCTGTGCCTCCCACAACACAGAGTCAGACATCAGCAGAGGCGGTGAGGTTCCTCTGTGGGTGACAGGCTTGTTTCTGTCAACTGGGGTTGGGCTGACTCCCCATGCTATGATATTGCCACCATGATTCCCTCTCCACTGTTCTACTTTATGCACATTAGACAGCTGTCTACTTTTGTCTTATCATTTGTGGCTTCTTATGGTATTCACCATGCACACCTGTGTTTACAGTATTTATTTCTAGGGCTGGGGATATATCTCAGGAGTGGAACACTTGCCTAGCATAAACTAGGCCTTAGTACCACATATACATGAAAGTATTTATTCCTTGTCTTATCCCCAAGCATTTATCAACTTTCTAGCTTTCATTTAAAGTCTGTGGTTTTGACTCTCCTAACAGTGAGGGAAATGAAACAAAAGTATATATGAACTAAAGATAAATAGGCCATGGATCTGAGGGTATATGTAACCTTTACAGGAGGCGTTAAGGTAATTTTTGTCTAGAACCTCCAGAGTAGGCTTCATCTTCCTCACATGGAATAAAGTCTACTTGCTGTTCTGCTTCGCACAGGCATGAAAACTGAACTAACATAGAACTCGGACAGTTCTGCCCCTCTGTGGAGCTTAGGGAGCTCACTAATTACAGCAGAGCCCCTCACAAGACCTGGAAGACCCCTATGTCCAAAGGACAGAGTAGGGGACACTCAAAAGTGCTTCCCCACACTTTAAAGTGATGTCTCACCATTTAGCCCAGACTGGCCTTAAATAAATGATCCTCTTACCCAAGCCCAAGGGCTAGGATTATAGACATGCACTACTATGACCAGCTTCAAAGTTGTTTTTATATCAGATCCTTACCTAGAAAGGCCTACTACAGAAGCATAAAAATATTCTCATTCAAACGCATGTACATATACAAAGACATCAGCAATACATTAACCATGGTTATCTTTGAGAAGGATTATGGGTGATTTATGTGTTATGGTTTTTTTTGTTATTTTATTAGAATGAACAGATCAAACTTTTATAAATTGGGAGAAGGTACACGTGATGATGTGTGTGCATGTAGGTATTTACAGATATAGTCACAATATTTTAAATACTGTCAGGATAGGCAATGTCAAGGGGAAAAGGAAATCAGCAGAAACCTACATGGTAGTGGGAGGACTCTGATTGCTACCCTGGAACAATGTCCACTGTTGAGGTAGAGAGCTGGGAGAAGAATCAAGGATCAAAGACAAGGAAGCATTGACACTAGAAGCAGGAAAACAGCATCAGGAGAGACAGCACTCTGATGTGAGAGGACAGTGCTGGAAATGAGCCCCTGAGCAAGTCCTGGCCATCTTCTGGGCCTTGATTTGTTCTTTTAAAAATGAGTTCATTGAGCTCAATTCCTCTAACAGCTTTTCACTTTGAATCATTACTTCATAAGAAAATGGGTTCTTATGAATCGATTCTGTCACAGAGAAAAATTTTCACTTACCAAATATTCATTGAACACTTAACCATATTATTCTGAGAAGTGCGTGGAGGCAAACATCTGCCTCCTGAAAGAACTGCTGGTCTCTCTTTACAAGAGATCACAGGGAGACTGCTAAAGTAGATCAAAGCTGATGCACACCTTAAATCCCAGCACTCGGAGGAAAAGACAGGCATATTTCTGTGAGTTCAAGGCCAGCCTGGTCTACATAGCTAGCTTCAGACCAGCCAGCACTACATAGTGACACCCTGTCTCAAACAGCAAATTTTAAAAAAAGAAGTAGATTATCCAGGGATAGTGGCACACATCTGTAATTCCAACACCTGGAAGGCTGGGCAGGAGGCTGAAGAGTCTGTGGCAGCCTGGGTTACATACCGAAACACTGAAAACACCCAGGCTATACAGTGAGAACCTATACGAACAAAGAAAGAAGAAGAAAAAACAACTACCAGGGGACAGTCAAGGCCCACAATGGCTCGCTGAAATCACGGTGATGGGTGGAATATACGGGCAGGCCCTGGTCACCAGCGGGAGGTCCTCTAGAGGAAGGGGGGCAGGCTGCTCTGTTCTACCCTGCTGTTTGACTATGACACATGGGACACCTGCTAGGCTCCGTGCCAGACAGGTGGAATTTTAAAATGCAAAACCACGAGAGGATTAGCAAGCTAAGGAAAAGTTTGATAAACTACACCAAATTAGACCACTACTTTTTGGGGAATAAAGTTTCACTGGAACATACTTGTGAATACGTGCAGTGAACATGAAAGTCACATGTTGAACTTAAGTAAAAGCAAAAGTATCCAGATGTCAAAAAAGAAATGACTTTTATACCTGGGTAGGTACTGGAGTAGAGAAGAGCTTTGGAAAAGTGTTATCTTGGCTGCATATACTAAATTAGAAACCCAGGAGGTGAGGCTTCAAAATATGTAATTCTGATCAAGTTTCCCAAGCAACTCTGAGGTCGCTAAGCCACTCTTTGGGCATTATTGGTCTATAGAATAAGTTATAGTCATCATTTACCCCTGAATAGCAACAGTGAGGATAAATAGCATATTTGGGTGCCCAGTAGGCCTGGCGTTGGGGAGATAAAGAAAAGGGGAGGGAAAATAAAAGTAAAACCAGAGAAAGGAGACATAGCAAGGCACATTTTGTGGAGAGCAATGAAGTTGCAGGCTGCTGCTTATGACCAGGTCGTTAGTAGCTGTCACAACAAACAATGAATGAAGTAGCAATGGGAAAGAAACCGGGCCGGAACAGGACAGGGCTGTAGAGGGCCAGGCACAGTTCATCTGTGGATAGGTGGCTGTCTTAGTTACTGTTCTACTGCTAAGACACCATGACCAAAGCCAGAGGGCTTGCTTCCAGTTTAGAGGGTTGGTCCGTGATCATCATGGTAGGGAGCATGAAAGCAGGCAGGCATGGCATGGTACTGGAGCATGGCTATGAGCTCACATCTGATCCACAAGTTATAGGCAGAGAGAGCAAGACGAGGCCTGGTGTGGGCCTTTGAAATCTTCAAGCCCACCCCCAGTCACACAGCTCCTCCAACAAGGTCACACCTCCTATCTTTCCCAAACAGTCCACCAACTGGGAGACGAACATTCAAATATATGAGCTTATGGGGGCATTCAAACCACCACACTGGCCAAAGACATTACTTACTGGATGGTATGGCTAAGCAAACACAAAAGTTAGCTTGAAACATAAATAAGGAACCCTTATTATCAGAGTATAGGAAAGAAAGTCAAAATCACAAGTTATATATTCATTCTGTTCAATTTTGCATGTTTCCAAGGAAACGTCAATTATAAAATATAGATAGACTGCTTAGAATTTCATGAAAAAATACAAGATAAAGAGCAAAGATTTGCCAGCTGAAAAGTGATGACCCAAACACGAAGGAATCTGTTCTGGACAGTGTCCAGTAACAAGAAGAGGGAAACTGGACTCCAGAATTAGTTGACTCCAACCCAAGACTCACTAGCATCTTTCTCACTTCTATTCAGAGCAGATCAAAATTCCTACTCTGAAGGACTGAAGTCACAGTAATTCATGCCCTCCTTCTTTCCTTATCTATATGTCTGTCTGTCTGTCGATCTATCTATCTACTGTGGCAGGGTCTCGTGTAGCTCAAACTTTGGCTTCAGACTTTCCACCTAGCAGAGAATGACCTGGAACTCCTGACACTCCTCTAGGACTACAGGCATATGTCACCATGTCCAACTCCATTATTTTCCTTCTGTTTTGTTTCTTGAGACAGAATCTCACTATGTAGCCCCAAATGGCCTGGAATTTGCTATGTAGACCAGACTGGCCTCAAATTCACAGAGATGAGTTTGCCTCTGCCTCCCAAGTAACAGGATTAAAAGTGTATGTCATCTCACTTGGCATTTTATTAAGGAAAGGTCTCACTATGTAGTCCAGGCTGGCCTGGCACTTGCCACGTACCTCAGGGTAGACTTGAACTTACAGTAATTTTTTGTCTTGGCCTCCCAAGTCCTGAGATTACACACATATGCTACCTGTCTGGCTCCAAAATAGCACTTTAAAATGGTTTTTTGTCAGACTCAAATGAATAACAAACTACACACAGACGAAAGATCAAACTAGACAATCCTAAATTCCACTAAGAACAACATACAAATTTATTATATAACATAATAGTAATTTTCTTTTGATTCTATCAAAAGAATAAATTTAGCTTCTTATAAACTATAATAGTCTCATAATTATCAAATTATTAAGACAAGCAATTGGATTTTTTCTTTTTCTTTTTTTTTTTTTTTTTTGAGAGACGATCTCACTAGGTAGCTCAGGTTGCCCTTGAACTACAGATTCTCCAGCCTCTGCTGTCAGAAGCTGGGATTACAGGCATAAAACCTCACCCCTAGTTCAATCTTGTTTCTGAGTCAATTTACTGCAAAACATAGTAAAACAGATCTAGATGTGACTAACACATGAAAATCGTTGGATTTCTAGGTCTGTCCCAAAGACAACAAATATCCTGCTGAACAGAAACTTGGAAGTTCTTATGTAGGACTCCTCAGCTCAACGTATCCCAACCTGGGCCTTCCTCTGCCCGGCTATTTTACCTTCTCTTGTTCAGCATGCAATACTCTTGCCTGTGTGTTTTCTGTGGCTGTTTGAAGTGAGTTGTTCCTCTTCTCCAACATCAGGTTACTATGCTCAACATACCTGAGACAGAAATAAAGACAAAGAGAAGATTTACCCCACACTGAATGTTTGAAAGGCACAAGTGAACCCACTCAGTTCTCACATCGTTGTTCTACACCTTCATCAGAAACAATCTAAAGGGAGCTGGAGGGATGGTTCATAGGTTAGGAGCCTTCGATGTTCTTGCAGAGGTCCTGGGATCAGTTCCCAGCACCCACGTGGTGGCTCACAACCATATGTAACTCCAGTTCCAAGGGGTCCAGCTCCGTCTTCTCTCCCAGGATACTGCACACACACAATGCACAGATATGCAAGCAAAACATCCATATGCACATATTTTTTAATCTTAAAAACAAAAAACAAAAAACAAATAATCTGAAAGCACTTTGCTTTCTCGATACCTGCAGAAATTAACCAAGATATCGACAGTAACCAAGGAGGTGGCAACCTGGGCCACAGAAGAATTGCTCTGCATAATGAAGGCAGACATACACAGGGTGTGTGCTAATGGGAGATGGGGAGGAAAGAAAAGGGGGTAAGAAGACTGTAAGCCTTCTACCAAGCCTGCCATGAGAGAGACAAAAAATACTAGGTGAGAAATACAGGAAAAATGGCTTTTTCAAATGAAATGCATTGAGACTAGTCCTGTTTACCTTTCCACCCTCACAAAGCTCAGAAGGATCCACTAAAAACTACAAAATGGTTGTGCTTTATGAAATCAGTGAGGCTCTGGTCGAGTCCTATTGATAAAATAATTCACACAGAGAAGAGTGGACACAATTTTCTACATAACACGCTTTTCAGAAATGAGGAATAGGCTTGCAGAGATGAACCAAATACCCAAAGGCACACAAGAATGAAGGGCAGAGCTGAGGGTCTCACACCAAGCACAGGCACCTCAGCGTTTTCTCCTGAAGCAGTGAACAGGTAACTCACACAACAGGCAGGACTGACATGGCTGAACTACATGGACGGGTGAATAGGCTGCAGCTCAGAGAGAGGTACTGTGTACTTAGTATGTTCAAGGTCCTCGGGTTCAAGAAACAAAACACAGCAAACGTAGAGCAGAGACTTGTGATTAATATACTGCCCTCGACAAACGTGTGTTAAAGTGGACAAATTACACTAAACCCTTTGCCCAGCCTCCCCTGGCCTTGTCCCTGTCCTTACCTCTGGTTTCGTTCAATGAGTTCACTAATCTTGTCATTCTGCTCTTCTATCCGACTGCTTTTCTCAAGGAGCTCCTGCTTCAGCCTCTCGTTTTCCTGATCCAGACACACAACATACAAGGTATGTGTCTTCAAAGTGCCCGCTTCCTCTCCACTCTCTGCTTCCCGGCTGCAGCCAACGTGACCAGCACTTCACGTTCTGCTGCCAAGCCTTCCTGCCATGATAGACTGTATCCCCAAAGTGTAAGGCAGAATAACTGAACCCATGGGTAGCTTTGTGAACACACTTTCAAACAAACACTAAACTTATTTCCCCACAGATGTAACTGTTAAAGTAACAAACTGAATTATACCTGATGGATTCTAATCACTAGGCTAGATAGCTAGAGAACTGAAATGATCAGAAAATGAAGTGAGAATTTAAAATTGGGCCAAAAAGCAATGTTTCTTTTTGACCACATATAGTGTAAATCACATTGCACATAGAGCACAGTATAATACAGCTTAGTATAATGGAATATACAGTACAATATAGATGGTTGTGGTTCCAACAGGAGATGCCACCTGCATGCGCATGTGTTCGAATACTTCATCTCCAGCTTGGGGTGGACTGGAGGTGGGGTCCAGTGAAAGGAAGTGGGTTACTGAGGGTGGTCCTTAAGAGTTCCTAGCTAGGTCCCACTTCCTATTGGCTCTCTGCTCAATGGGACCAGTTGTCTCACCCTCTGCTACCACTCCTACCCGCCATGATAAGCTGCATGCTCTCAAACTAGGAGGCAAAACAAACCCTACTTTCTTAAGAAAAATAATACGACAGTGTAAGTCATAGGACCAAATTAAGCCATTGGTTTGTCCAACTGTAGTATTCAACACATGTTATCTCTCGGGGTGAGGGACAGATTTTCACAGGGTGGCACATCTGAGGAGGGAGCATGGACGAGCTCTCCAGGCTGAGCTGTGCTCCCCATCACCCTCACCTGAATGATTCGCTGGATGTTGCTCATGATCATGCTTGTTTCCATGGTGACTGACATGTTAGGAGGAAGCATAGAACTGCCGGAGCTATGCTTCTGTAACTCTTCCACCTGCAAAGGGAGGCCAGAAAGACTGTGTGAACATGTTTAACTGGAGAAATGCAACTCACCCGGGACCAATCACTTTTTTAAGGAAGTTAATACATTTCTGAGACAATATCTAAATGTAAGCCTGCTTTCTCCTGCTAACTTGATCCCAAAGTAAAAATAACCACCCTTCTAGGTAAATGACTAAGGACTGTGAATATGGGAAACCAAGGACGAGTTTTCTTACAGCTGTGGCTTCTCCTATTTACGTCCCACTTATTGTCTACTTCCTGTCTCCCCAACCCCCTTTTTTACACTTTTGTTATCTCTTTTTAAAATTTAAAATATTTTTTTAGATTTATTTATTTTATTTTATGTGTCTTGAGTGTTTTGCCTACAAGTATATATGTGCACCATGTGTGTGCCTGGTGCATCAGAGATGAGATGAGGTATCAGATCTCCTGGAACTGTGAGGGCTGGGAACAGAACCTTGGTCCTCTGCAAAAGTACTCTTAATCACTGAACTGTCTCTCCAGCCCTCTATTTATTATTTATTACAATTTCATACATATAAATAATGTGTCTTTATTATACCCACTCTCCTTTATTAAAATTAGTATTTATTTATTCAGATTATTCTATGCATTATTCTGTGTACATATGACATGTGTAAATACAGACATGTACACCTGTGTCACAGCACATGTGCTGAAGTCAGAGCATAACTTGTAGGAAGCAGTTCTCTCTTTGCATGATGAATTTCAGGAATCAAACTCAGATTGCTGGACTTGTTCAGCAAGTGTTTTTACCTGCTGAGCCGTCCCTGGCCCAACTGATCCATTTTCAACAGAGCCTCAGCTCTGACTCAGTCACCTTAGTCATGAGATGATCCATTTTATCAGCCACTTTGCTGACTGCCATTCGAATTTCAGTGTTGTGTTGCCGGGCTTCAGTCATGAGAAAGGACATCATGTCACCTGATCCTAAACAGACATGAAAAGGAACTTATAAACCTGGAAAGAGGAAACCATGCGTGAACAAGTCAAGGGCAGTTTTAGCAGAGAAAGGAAAGGACCCCTTTCATGTACTAGGAAATGCAGTAGGTGATTTCACACTGTCAGGAGAAGACATAGAAGAAGGAATAGAGACAAAAGGGCTCCCAAGCTAATAATAACTAGGTTATATTTCTGCAAAATGCATCAAGGGCTAGAGTCTGGCCAAGTGCACACTGGTCCAAGTGTATACCCACTTTGGACTACTATAATCCTGGCACTTACACTGCTTCCCCTTTCACCTAGCTGTGTATCAGGCATTGCACAGGCACCAGGAATACAGTCATGAATAGAACATGGTCCCAGATCTTAGTGGGCTTCAATTTATAGACAAATCATTACAACAGAGTGTTTTAAATTTCAAATGGGCACAGCAGCACATGACTGTAACTCATGAGGCACACAGAAGATTCAGAGTTGAAGATTAGCCTGGGCTTCATGAGATACTATCTGAAAAACAACTTTTTAAGGAGGTGATTTCAAGTGCAAAAAATAGGCCATGTATAAGGTACAAAAATAGCACCTTAAAAATAGTACTAACCTTCTGGGGACATTCATATGCACTTGTGTCTACAGAAGCAGTGGATGGAGAGGTGCTGAGCCAGAGGAAATGTCAGGTTGGAGGGATGCCAAAGTGTTTCAAAGATGGAGAAGGGACAGGGCTCTAGACAAAGGCTGCATTTAGGAAGCCCTTCCCACTGCAGAACTGCAAGTTAGGCTGTTGAAGATACACTAGTTTCCTCTCCCACTATCTCATGCCAAAGTGATTACCAAGCAAAAGACAGGCTGCACACAATGGCAGAAAACCCACACATCAGTCAACATTTCATTTACTTTGTTTACAAAACACATCTATGCTTGCATAAGTGCATAAAATACACACAAAGTTGCTCACACAACTATGAGAGATGCTCTCCTATGGGCAGAAGTTTAATGACAGAGAAGACAGTTACCTTTACTTTATCCCATTTTGTATTGTTTGACATTTTTACTAAAGTGAATTACTTTCCTAATTTACAAATTTTAACAAAGTAGTTTTCATCCGAGGCACTCAACACCCACAGTAGTCCTCATGCTTCCTCTCAATCCCTCCAGTGTTTGCTCTTTCACCATCTGCTATAGGCTCCAGTCACTCTGACAGAAGAATTAAAAAGGCTGGTAGGAGAGCATGGAGGGAAAAAGACCAGGACTGTGGGTACAAAGGAACTTCGGAGAAGATGCAAATTTTCTAAAAAATGTATTGTTGTGACAGATGCACTGCTGTGGGATAACTCTTTTGTGCACTGGTTTAATAAAATGCTGATTGGCCAGGAGCCACGCAGGAAGTATAGGCGGGATAAGCAGACAAGGAGAATCCTGGGAAAGAAAAACAGAACTGAGGAGGAGATGCCAGCCCGCCATCCAGGGAGCAGCATGTAATGACACACAGGTAAAGCCAAAGAAAATGTGGCGACATATAGATTAACAAAAATGGGTTAATTTAAGTGTAAGAGCTAGTCAGTAGTGTGCCTGAGCTAATGGCCGAGCAGTTTTAATTGATATAAGCCTCTGTGTGTTTACTTGGGTCTGAGCGGCTGCGGACCGGGCAGGACACAGGAGAACTTCCAACTACAATGCACAACTCGGAACTTTTCCTAAAGAAAAAAAAAAGATGCTGGGGTCTGGGGAGATGATCAGCCAGTAAAAGTGCCTTGCTCCATAAGCTCAAGGACTTGAATTTGAATCTCCAGGACCTACCAAAAATAGTAACAAAGGAAATTGACCATGGTTGTGTATACCTGGAACCCCAGACACAGGTGGATCCTGAAAGCTTCCTGGCTAGGTGGTCTATGCAAAAATGGCAAGATTTCCAGTTCACTGAGAGACCTAGTCTCAAAACAATAAGCTGCAGACCAATAGAGGAAGATATCCAATGTCCTGCTCTGGCCTCCACATATATGTACACAAGTACGCATACCTGTACACTCATATGCATGCACACATATATACATACACAACATGTACTATATATACTATATTTAAATATATATTTAAATGAATTATATGGTATATAAATTACAACTCAACCAAGCTGCTAAAACAAAACAATGAAAAGAAAGAAAGGGCAGAGAGCTGTTGGAGGAAAAATGAAAACAGAATGGGAGGGAGGAGAGCCCAGCAAAGGTAGAAGAGGGGAAACTGGGAGGAGAAAGCTATTCCCTACCTTGAAAGTGGGGAGCCTGGGACAGTGGTGCTGGGTACAAGGGCCGAACAGGCTGCAGCTGCGAGGTAACTGAGCATGCCTGGGGATATGTGTAGGCTTGCACACCTGCACAGGGCTGACAAAGTGACAAGTTACTTGTTTACATTCCTATGATAGAACAAAGCAGAAAAACAGGAAGGAGGCTTGAGGTGATTAAAACTGGAAATGATAAGACCACAGTTAGGCCACTGTCTTTGGGACTTGATAGTACCTGGTCACTCCAGTCCTACCCAGAACCTGAGGAACAGGAATCTTGTATCACTATCAGTCCTCTGACAATATGATTTAATAAAGTGGGAATTGGTTCCCTACTATCAAGCCTATTTTTAAGAAAAACTTGAAATTAAGCAAACCCTGTTTAGTTTCTCTTGAAGGAAAAAAAAAGTTATTTTTCAAGATTCCAAACTAAGCCAGTCAGTTTCCTGGATGCCTCTCCCCTGCTAGAATCGTTTTTTGTTTTTTTTTAATTATTTTACAGGCTTTTTAAAATCTGTATGCATGTATGTCTATGCACAAATGTGTGGGGGTTTCTAACCCACCTGATATGGTACGTTCTTAACAGCTGAGCCATCCACTGCTCAGCCCCTAGATTCTGTTTTGTTTGTGTGTTTTCAGACAAGGTTCCATGTAGCTCAGGCTAGCTTCAAAATCACTATATAGCTAAGGATACCCTTGCATTCTCAATGTTCCTGCTTCCAGTTCCTTAGTGCTGGGATCACAGATGTTTGCCACCACATCCAGTACCCTTGCTAGATCCTGATGCTTATCTGGGTGGCCAGAAGCTCTTATTTTTCTGAACCGGAGTATCTCAACTGTGCAAGGAAGATGTTACTGTTTCATGGGGATTTGCTAACGGGCTAAATGAGGTAATACAGGCAAAGCCCCTAAAAATTGGCAAATTAAATGCCTGGCAAAAGGCAAATGCTCAATAAACATCAGCTATCATTTTGAGGAGAGTTATTCTCTCCCCATAGAAGAACTTGTTTATTTCTAAGGACAATATAACAATCCAAACATTGTTAAATTAAAACAAAAATTCTTAGTCTGTGACAGAGGGATTTTCCACTGTGGGAGATGTTTTCAGTTTTGAGTCTCTGTTCACAATCACCACGAGGGGCTGGGGCTGGAGAGAGCTCTTGCTATGTTGCATGCACCAACGGGACCTCGCTGTGTGCCAGGCCCAGGCCTTGAATGGGTACTTTGCTTATTCCTGCACTTACTCTTCACAGGAAGTTGTGAATAGACAACTCTGTGTGGTTTAGGGATAAGAAAGGAGTAATTTAGGGAAAGGGAAATTACAAATATTGACTTGGGGAACTGCTGCTGTGTAAAAAGGAGAGAAGGGATCTTCTGTATTCACACAAGAAGACCAACAGAAATTATATTTCATGACTAAAACCACTTTAAAATAATATTGTTTGTTACCTGAGGGCTGGACGTGGTGGTACACTCCATTAATCTCAGCTCTCAGGAGGCAAGAGGCAAGCAAATCTCTGAGAGTTCGAGGCCAGCCAAGACTACATAGTGAGACCCTATCTCAAAATAACAACTAAAGAAATTAATTAATTAATTAATTAAAAAAGACTTACCTGGAAGTTCTGAGCATTTCCAGATACAACAGAGTGGGAATCAACAGGAGCAACTTGCATCAAGGCAGCAGAGGGTGTTTGGAACCCAGAAACAGATGGCTGAGGTGCTAGGTATGATAAAGCAAGATATTTCTACTGTTACCATCCTTGCTTCTTGTGTTAACACAAAAACACAACTCTGACCTCAAAGGGGATAAAAGATAATTTTGGAGCCAAGCAATCATGACCATGGCTCGGGAACATGGATTTGGGTTACTCCAAATTCCATGTTCCCATGTAGTTGACAATCTCATGAAGTTTTCACAGATCTAGACATTTTTTTAAATACAGTGGTGAAAACATCTGTATTCTGGGTGTGTTCTGGAAAGGCAGGAGGTTTTAGTTTCGGGCCTCAGATGCTATCTGACCACATTCTTAGCTTTTGATTGGTGAAGGCTAATACTCTGTACATTTCAAAGGATTTACCTAATAGTTACAGAGATGTTAGGTCACAACCAAAGAAGGGCAATAAGTGGCTATTAAGAATAGGCTGGGGACAGCACGGAGAACTGTCTCCATTTCTGTGAACGAACCCTACAACTGCCCAGGCCTGTCCCATCATTCACCCCATCTATGATCTGCTGGAGCACGTAAAGGGACCTGACCTGCAGACCCAAATCAGCATGATCTCCACAACACAATGTAAGACACAGAGAATAAATAAATAAATAAATAAATAAATAAATAAATAAATAAATAAATAAATAAATAAATAAATAGATTTTTCCAGGTGGCCATTAAAGACACATAGAATAAATGAATGAATAAATGAATGGATGAATGAATGAATGAATTCTTCCAGGTAGCTATTAATGGCCCAAGATAAATTACAACTCGTCTCTGAACCTGCTGGATCTCTGCCTCTACACAATCACTGACCTCGAGTAAGTTAGCCTTAAGAAGGTTCAAGTCAGGTGGGGCCTTTCCAGGAACTTTCCTTCACACTCATAAGTCTGGACTGGCACCTGGCATTCCCATGCTTTAAACTGGACCAGTTTCCCCACTTAAACTCCCAGAACTGTTCCACCAGCATCCCAGCAACTGATGGAAACAGTGCTCCCTTGTGCATCTGACTCAGATCCCATCTGCTGACACACGTGCAAATAACACACAGGGAGATGTCTCAAGAGCTGAGCACAGATTTCCAAAAGGGACAATGCAACAAAGCAGAAGTCACGACGACAGGCTGACTCCTTCTGAGTCTGAAAGTGTTCTACTAAGACAAACTCAAGTGTTAGTCCCCAACCCAGGCCCCAGCACTAACAAGGCAAGCTAATAATCTAAGGAACACTGAAGAAAAGTTAGATCCGACTCAGGGGCCAAGCCTTAGAGAGGTTCCTTTCTTACCCTGTGTGGCCATCTGTGGTAACACTGGATGGGCTGGCTGAAGAGAAGGCTGGACAGACGGTGTCACCAGGGACTGCCCAGCTCCGCGTACAACAGTTGTATCCTGAAAGAGACACAGGGTCGGTCTCTATGTGTAGGACTTTAGCTGAAGACTGAGGCTGCTCCTCTCTAACTCTATTCGCAATACAGGATTTCCAGGCAAGAAAGAGGAAGGAAAGGCAGGCAGAAATGCAAAAGTCAAGGGTATGAGTTGTATGCAGGAAGCATTCAATTATGCAAGAGCCCTTCTTCCTATAAACCATACCAAATAATCAAACACAGTTTATCTCTACTGGTGTTCTAAGCTGTCGATGTTTCACCATGACCGATCTACAGAACGCTCCATCAGCTACCTAACTGATCTAACCCGTTCCCACGAGAAGGGCCTCCTACAAGGACAGCCAGCATCAACCCAGCCTCACCTCTTCAGCCAAATCATTTCACAGACCCCAAACAGCCATAGGAAACTGGACAGAGTGGGATTCACTCCACCTCATTAGCAGGCTGGCTTCGATGCTTCCTGTCTAGAATGTTTGCCCGAACTCTTTCGTTGTTTTGTTTTTTTGAGAAAGTTTTTTGAGTCTTTCTATGCAGTTGTCACTGTCCAGGAACTTGCTATGTGGACCAGATTGGCCTCAAACTCAGAGATCCTCCTGTCTCTGCCCCCCAAGTGCTGAGATTAAAGGTGTGTGCCACCACACCTAGCTGTTGGCTCTCATTCTTAAAATATTTTTTGAAAAAAATCATAAAACCAAAGCTGTAACCCTAAATAAAGCTGCTCCATCTTCGTGCCAGGGCAGGCAGTCCTGACACACAGTTCATCATCTGCAGTGCTGTGGTTCAAGGCTGTCACTTCTTCGTCATTCTTTAGAGCGCCCCCAGACCCCAGTATTCTCTTCTGGGAAAATCAACCCACTTTTAGATTATTACCAATTCCTAAATCAACTCAAATGTCTACCAAGAGAATAAAGGGAATTATGATAAATGGAAGGCCACTGAATTGCCTTTAAAGCAATATACATTATATATATATATATATATATATATATATATATATATATATATATATATGTAACTGATATTAACATAGGCATTTATGATATAACAATAAGTTTAAAAGTTAGTTTATAAAGCAATATATAAAGGAAATGCCTTTTTTGTTAAGTATATTCTTTCTTTATAATTTTTAATTATTATGCAATAAAGTAACTTAGTTTTAATTATACTTAAATTTTAATTAATTATATATAAAAAAGTAATTTTTAATGAATTATATTATTCAAATTTCATTTGTAGAAACCAGGAAACAAAAACAAAATAGTAAGCTCCATTTAAAATGTTAGAACTTTCCAGGAAACAAATAAAACAATACTATGAAAAATAAACCCTACTTCAGAGCACATTTTATATTTTTTCTCTTCATTTTATATCAAATGAAAAAATTCTCAAAAATCAATCTATCATATATTTCAGTTCATTTGAGAAAGAATTTTTTTTTTTATCAGTAACAAGCTAACCACTGAAAAGAGGCTTAGCCTGGCGGTGGTGGCGCATGCCTTTAAGCCCAGCATTTGGGAGGCAGAGCCAGGTGGATCTCTGTGAGTTCGAGACCAGCCTGGTCTACAAAGCCAGTTCCAGGACAGCAAGAGCTACACAGTGAAACCCTGTCTCAAAAAAACCAAAGAAAGGTGGAGGCTTGGGGACAGGGGGCAGGAGGAGGGAAGAGGGGGGATCTTTGATTGGTGTATAATTTGAATGAAAAAATTTTCTTAATAAAAAAAGAAAGAAAAAAAAACAGCTTAAGTTACTTTATATTCTTGTGGACCACAAATTTAGATCTAAATAAATATAAAATAATCATATTTCTGAAAGATATGTCATATTTCTAAAATCTAAAAATAGGAGTGTTTTCATTTGTATATGAGTGTTTATATGTGTTCACGTGTGTATACAGGAGGGAATGTGCACATTGTACACTTTTGGGCATGTGGAGGTCAGAGGTCAACACTGGGTGTGTTGCATGGTCACTTTTAACCTTAATTCTGAGTCAAGGTCTCCCACCAGACCTAGAGCTCACTGGTTGACTGGACTGGTTGACTCCCAGGCCCCAAGGGTACCTCTGTGGGCCCTCCTCAGATCTCGGATTGCAGGCACAAGGCACTGCCCCGGCTCTGATGTGGATGCTGGAGAGCTGCTTAGGTGACATAGCAAGGACCTTCCCCACTGAACTACCTCCCCATCCTGGGGATGCTTTCTGAGCACAGTGTCAAGAGCAAAAAGCAAGGGGGATTGTAGATAGGATTTCAACAAAATTCTTGAACTTCTAAATAATATTTTTAAAACACAGGAAAAAACATCATATATAAAGTCATAAAATGTAACAGTTTGGTATTTAAACATTGTATTTAAACATGGGTGAGAAGACCAGTATTTCCCAAACTGATCCAAGCATTCAATTAACAAACATGGATGGAAGCCAGAAGTAGTGGCATGTGCCTATGGTCCTACACACTGGGAAGGCTGAGGTAGGAAGTCACTGGAACCCAGGAGTTACGAGCCTAGGCAACATGGTGAGACTCAGTCTCCACGGGGAAAAAAAAAAAAAAAAAAGAATTGAGCACCTGTAGACATGCATGCAGGCAAAACACTCATGCACAAAAATAATAAAATTAAAATTTTTAAAGAGTAAAAGAAACTTTCAAAAAGTAGAATAGAGTGCCTGTTATGGGTTGTACATCTTGTCTGAAGACTGATTCTTTTTTCTCAACATGAAGCAGATTTATTCATTTCAGACAGGCAGCTAAAGATTATGAGCAAGACAGATTCAAGATCCTGGTACATGAACACTAACCAAACCTCTCTAAATGGTCTAGTTCTTGTGCCTGATGTGCAGAACTGCTTCTAAACAGTCCAGTTCTTGGGTCAGATATGCAGGATTTACCTCCATTTGGGGAAGGCCTAATCACAGTAGAAAGACATGTACCCGCACTGATCTCATGACTCTGGATTAGACACAGGAAAGGAACTTATTTCAACCAAAGAAACACAAGATGGCAGCACCTGTACCACACATGCTAATACAGTCAAGGTGACATACTTCTGGTTCTGAGCCATTGGAATCCAGCTGTGGTGGGAGGATGGGCAGCATGGGCTGGCCCATTTTAGCCATCCGAGAGATCAGCTTGGCCTTGACTGTGTCAGGACTCTAAAAAGAAGGCGTAAACATCACTGTGACTGTGGTTTGTTGCTTTCAAACAGTTCAACTTCTTTGCCTTGTATCAAAACCTTTACCCGTACTATTCCCTATTAGAAGCCGTTTCTTCTAGAAAGCAAGAATTATTTATGATACCAAATACAATGCAAATGCTATATAAATACAGTATTGAGGAAATAATGACAAGAAAGAAGCCTATCTGTGTACATTTAGCTCAGACGCAATCCCTATAGCGCCCCCACAAAAGAAAGTAAGAATTAAAGATGCCATGCATAGAAGCATATAATTAATAATAACAACAACAGTCAAAATGAGTCCCTATAGATCTGGAATGGACTGCTTGCATACGATCCATCTCTTTTAAATCAAGTGTCCCCGCTGTAAAATGAGAGTGCTAATGCACACTTGGTTTAACTTCCTGTGTTTAGAAAGTTTTTTCCACCAGGACCAATTACTTATGAAGTGGGTCCTGCTGTGGCTGAATGTGCACAGGGCTGGCTCCACCCATCACCTACTGTACCCAGTGGCAGGGAAAGGCCTTTCTTGAACCTGAAGTTCTTTGTCTACCATCTGGTCCCCCTGCTGCACACTCAGAGCCTGCATGGACCAAGCAGGGCAGCAGGAAACTACCTTTTCATGCCTCCTAAAGGCATTCAAGTCCAAATTTTACTGAAATAGCAACTGGTCCTCTCCTCTGACCTTTGGGGAAACAAAGTCAATGACCTGCTCAAAGTCAACCAGTAGATGAAGAAGCCTCAGCTCCTCTGAGAGAACAAAAGCACAAGGTGTCTACTCTTTCAGGTAAATCAGTGCTCTCCAATCCCCCTCTCACACACACTTTCTTTGGTGGTGGTGGCAGTTACAGAATTTTGTTCTTTTTGAGATAAAATACACATAACATAAAATTATATTAGCATCAATGTTAATGTGAACAATGCTTATTAATCACTTACAATATGTCAGATATAATACTGAAAACTCAGTAAGTGTTCATTTCCTTACGTCAGTTTACATACGAAGAAATAAACCTCTTTAGAGAGTAAGCTCTTCAAGGTCACACAGAATAAGCAACAGAGAAAGCCAAGGATTAACCTCTGATCCATCCCTGTTGGAATAATGGCATCTCTAGACGGAAGTGTACTCGACTGGAGGGGTTCCCTCCCAACCTCACACCTCTCTCCTGATAACACCACAGCTACTGCCCATTGAAAACAACTTTACACAGCTCTGAGCTCAGGGCTTTAAGAGCATCTTTAGTCCTTACAAGAACTGTAAATGGGGGCTGTGAAAATTATCTCCACTGCAACAATAAAGAAACTGAGGATCTGAAAAGTCAGATCCTTTCTCAAGGCCACATACCTTTAATTCAGAACTACTGGTGTATTAGCCCAAGCTAATTTCTACTGACTGATTTCCAAGTAGGATAAAATGAATACAGTAATATTTAATTTCTAACCTAGTCAGTGGCTTTCAAACCATGTACTAAGCACATGAAACCAAGCACTCCAGGGCTTTGGGGTACAGAGTCATACTTACTGTATTTACAGTAAGCTGTTCACTGAGAGAGTTAGATTTGGAACGAAGAGCCGGCTCCCTGAAAGAAAAAAAAAAAAATCCTGAGATACTACAAAATCTATAGTCATAAACACAAATTAAGCTGGCTTAAAAACATTGCTTTTAAAATATTCAACTGAACAGCTAAAACAGAATTTTAACTCCTCTTTACTTGTATAGTCTTGGAAGGCCACCAAAGTTGAACAATCTTTCATTCAAATTCAGTCCACTTTCTCATGGGCCTGCATTCTGTATTCATGCCCTTTACTCAGCTTTCTCCCAGGGTTCTTCAGATATTCTTATTACCACTTTTACAGACTATTAATCCATTGTCAGAAGAATCTGATGCAGCATTTTCCCATTCCTGATCCTGTTTATTTTTTTTTCAATTACTTAATATTGATTGCAGTTTTAAACTACATATGAGGAGCCATGTTGAGGAATCCTAGAGCATGCCATGGCCCTAATATCTTACCCGGACTTGAGAGGCAGTGTTATGGGTGGTATCACAGCAGGGTCACTTGGGAGGCTGTCAGCAGCAGGTACAGGGGAGGGGGCTGCAGAGTCCCGGGAGCTCACACTGTGGCCATCAGAGCCAGAATCTCTAGCAAACTTCACCTGGGGTAGAACAGAATGTACACGCTTACCCTTCAGTAGTCTCTTTTCTTTATTCTTTAGCATACAAGCTATTGCCTATTCAGTATAGGTAATCAAAAATGCAGAAGAAAAGACAAAGGGAATGGTTAGTTACAATTAGCTACCATTACATCATCTGCGTGTATGAACGAGGGCATGTGTGCTTTTACAAATGGGGCTACAGCTTCATAGCTGTTCTGCTTTCTTGTTTATACATTAATGTATTTCCTGTCACTAAATATTTATCTTCATTGTTTTCAGTTCTTGAAGAGTGTGTCTAACTTCTAGGTCATGCTCTTTCCTGCTATAATCTACAAAATAAAGTCTCCAAAGGATTTTTGAAAGGGAAGTTATGAATATATATGCTTTTATTTATTTATTTATTTATTTATTTATTTATTTATTTATTTATTTATTTATTTATTTATTTATTTATTTATTTATTTATTTATTGGTTTTTCGAGACAGGGTTTCTCTGTGTAGCTTTGCGCCTTTCCTGGGACTCACTTGGTAGCCCAGGCTGGCCTC